CAGTCACCAAAATACCCCTTGAACCCATCCAATTCTTCCCAGCCCACAGCCCCCTCCATAAGGAACCCCCATCTCCCACCTGGACCCCAAGTCCCTGCTGCCCCCAGGCCTGCCTTCCCACAACACCCCAGAGATTCTTTAATGCCCACACCCAATCACAGCCCTCCTTGCTTAAGACTAGGGTGCAGGGGTTGGTGTGCTCCCCAGCCCCCAACACTGTTCCTCCCCAGAAAAAAAATCTAAGCCAAGCTCTGGGCCTGCAGAGCCTGCCGGAGCGACGGGTCCCCGGCCACCTTGTAACAGCCCCGTGTGCCTGGCCCTGCTCAGGCACCAAGGGCACAGCCGTGACCTTCGCAGACCCTGCCCAGCCCGCCCAGCGTCCTCCACCATCTGGTTAGGGCGGAGCTTGACCTTTGAGAAGGAGATAGGAGCTGGCCTGCTGGTCCCGCTGACCTTGGCGTTGCTGAGCGCTGGCCTGGCAGTCACAACAAGGCCCTGGCCTTCCCCCGCTCCTGCCAGACATCAGAGCTTTCACAGCCATCAGCGGACAGGGCACGCAGTGACCATGGGGAACAACACAAAATAAGGCCAGTCATCACCTGTCTGACAGGCGAAGCGTGAGCACTGCCCAAGAGCAGCAGCGGCCAGAGACAGACATTCGCTGCTCCTGGACCAATCCCAGCTGGGTTCCTGCTTCACTCCTCAGACTGCTGGGTGCAAATTAAGGTCCTCGATAATAGCTCCTTCTTCCCTTGCTTCCCTGCTTTCCCACGGGCAGGGGCCTCGGCTGGCCTGTGCACTTGCACCAGCCTGGCTGCACCAAAGCCCTGTTGACGGGGCTCAGTGCTGGGGGCAGCTGATGGGACCTTAACTCAGTGAACACAACAATTAGCTCAAATTTAGTGAAGAGGGACCCACTCAGTAAATGAGTCCTGAAGACCCAGAACTCATTACTCAGCACAGGAGTTACAGCAAAACTGTACCATAAACATCAAACTTGTTCAGAGACTAGATCTTGTTCCCAAATGAGAAGAAATTACAGTGATGTGAGACCGTAGGGGTGTTAGCTACAATGGCAACACAATGCAATGTAGGTGATTCAGATCAATAGGTTGTAACCCTTAAACTTCCATAATGTTGCATGTCAATTATATCTCAAAAAAAGGACCAATTCAGTAGGTGATTGGGGGTATGATGAACTCAGACGGGTTTACTACCTTTATATCTTTATTTCATGTTTATCTTCTTTCCTTTTACAAATTTTTTATTGTGGTAAAATATACATACAATATACAATTGCCATTTTAATCATCTTTAAGCGTCCAGTTCAGTGGCATTAAGTGCATTCACACTGTCGTGCATTCATCTCCACCGTTCACCTCAAAAGCTTTGCTGTCACCCCAAACTAAAGCTCTGTCCCCCTTAAACACGAACTCCCACCCGGCCGGCGTGGCTCAGGGGTGGAGGGTCAAACCCATGAACCAGGAGGCGGTTTGATTCCGGTCAGGGCACGTGCTCAGGTTGTGTGCTGGGGCATGGAGGAGGCAGCCAATCAATTATTCTCTCTCATCATTGATGTTTCTATTTCTCTCTCCCTCTCCCTTCCTCTCTGAAACTACCAAAAAAAAAAAAATAATAACAGCAGCAACACTAACTCTGCATCCCCTTTCCTGTTGTATACATTCTTTTTATTTGTCAGATCTTCCAAAAAAGGGAAGTCAAACCTCCAACCAGTAAAAGCCTGCGATGCAGAGCAGAGCCCCACTTCTTCCTTTTCTTTTCTTTTTTCTTTTTGTTAATTCTCACCCGAGCATCTTTTGTTGATTTTTTAAAAAATATATTTTATTGATTTTTTACAGAGAAGATGGCTGAGGGATAGAGAGTTAGAAACATCGATGAGAGAGAAACATCGATCAGCTGCCTCCTGCACGCCCCCGACTGGGGACGTGCCCGCAACCAAGCTACATGCCCTTGACCGGAATCAAACCTGGGACCCTTGAGTCCACAGGCCGACGCTCTATCCACTGAACCAAACCGCTTAGGGCTGCTGATTTTTTAAAAAATATATTTTTTATCTCTTGGGTGGAAGGCGGGGGAGGGTGGCTGGGTGGGAGGTAATCAGCCACGGACCGTGTATGCATGTGTGCAGGCCCATGGACACAGACAATGTGGTGGTGAGGGTCTGGGGTGAGGGGGTGGGGGCTGGCTGGAGGGGGTCAATGGGGGAACAAAAGGGGACAGATGTAATACTTTCAACAATAAAGAATTATTTAAAAATATTAAGAAAAATAAAAAATACTTTTTATCAAAGCTTTTAAGGGCCAAAACAGGATGCATTAGAAGTGTTTCTCATATCTGTAGAGTGACCTCACCAGAGCTTATCAACAATTTAGGATACAGGATTCTCCTAGCTTTGAGCTTTGTAAAGTTTCAAACCCAAGTGGGATTTCAAACTGTGACCTCCTGGTTCATTGGTCAACTTTCAACCACTGAGCCACAAAGGCAGGGCTCCATTGATTTTTAGAGAGAGTGTAAGGGAAAGGGGAGAGACAGAGAGAGAAACATTGATGTGAGACACATCTATTGGCTGCCTCCCACTCGTGTCCTGATTAGGACTGGAGACCAAACCTACAATCTAGGTGTGTGCCCTTGCCCGGAATCAAACCCAGGACTCTAGTCCTCAGGCCAACGCTCTATCCACGGAGCCACACCAGCCAGGCTAAAGCCCCACTTCTCTAAACCTCCCCCAAAGCACCGGAGACAAGTCCAAGCCTGATCAGTCCCTTACACCCTCCTGAGATGCCCACACTCCCCCAGCCTGTGCTCTTCCCAGCTGCAATGAGTCCGAAGCCCGGATTTGTCCAACCACAGGTGTGCTCCTGAGGGTCAGGGGCTGGAGGGGTGGGCACTGGCGCTTTAAGGGGGCCTTGGAGGCCCGCGAGCCCTGGGGGGACAGTAAGCGGGGCAATGACGCAGAGAGATTTCCCAGCTTGCATGGGAGATTTAGGAGGCAGATGAAGAGGAAAACTCGAGGCGATGGTAAGAAGAGACCCGCAGCCTCTTGTATAAATCCTCACCGCTGCTTTCCAAGTGGCTACCACTCCCAGCCCCATTGTCCAGGGGACAAAACTGAGACGTGAAGGAGTCAAGTCTGTGGCAGGCTCCCCGAGACCCCAGGAGGCAGGGCCCTCTGGTCTTGCTCCCAACTTTTCTCCTCGCTGCCCCCAGAGTTGCTGGGGGACCACTGTGACAGCACTGGCGGGCAAGCTCTTGAGTCACAATGGGAAGGCGGGACCACGTGAGAGTCTCTGGGAGACTGGACAGAGGGAGCCAGAGGGTCAGCGGTCACGTGCATTTTCTAAGGCTCATTGGCTCCCATGCCACCCCTCGAGGTAGGTGCCCGATCTTCATCCCTGAGAGGAAGCCCAGCTACTCATTCCAGGGTGACTAAAAACCTGTGATTTGTGTCTCGAGGAAAACTCGAGACAACGGTAAGAAGAGACCCGCAGCCCCTTGTATGAATCCTCACCGCTGCTTTCCAAAGTAGCTACCGAGCCCTACTGTCCAGGGGACAAAACTGAGACTCAAGGAGTTAAGTCCTTGATGCATGTTTTCCCTAGCGGTCAACATGAGACGTAGTGGTGGGCTGAAGTGGTCTGGGAGGGCTTCCCGCAGGAGGTGAGCCTGAGCTGGGAGTGCTGCTGGCACCCGCAGGCCTGGTCTCCACGGAGCAGGGAAAACGGTGGGAGAGACACATCTGCTCTGAGGAAGGCAAGAAAGTCCTAGTCAACTAAACAGGATCCTGGGAGACTGGAGCTGAAGGTCAGAGAATTGAGTGCAAGGTAGGCAGACCTCTGACAGCCTGTGGACAGGAAGGGATCCGGGGAATAGTCAGGACCCAGGACAACTGCAGAGGCAGGGCCACCATGGAGGAGTATGGCAGAGACAGAAGAGCTCCCAGACATGGAGGGGAGAGCCGAGGACTGCTGGTGAGGAGAGAGGGCTCCCCCTGACACACTGCAGAACGCGGAGGTCAATTCCGCGCGCTCCCCATGCTCACTGTGCCCGCTGCTCTTCAGGCGCCCAAATGCCCCCTCCACCTTCCTCAGGCCTTTGCTTACCTGTCATCTCAGGGATGCCTTCCTTTCTAAAGCTGCAGCCCCCCACCCTGACCCCCATCCTCCCACCCTTGTGACTTCAGTTCCCACAGCACTGGTCACCTTCTATTTACATTGCAATGCATTTCATTATGTTATTATATAATCATAATTTATTTACCACAAGTATGTATCATAATTGTGATATATAATAATTTTACAATGTATTATTATTATATTACAATGTTGTTATGTTATGTTATGGTCTGTCACCTCCCTGACCCATTATCAACTCCACAGAGCAGGGCTCTCGGCCTGTTCTGTTAACTGATGCGCCCTTTCCCAGGAGCCCACGTCCCGGCCGGGCACGAAGTAACTGTCCAATAAACGTTGTTTCATATTGTGTTCTCCCTGGGGCAGCGCAGGGGCTGCGCCTGTCTCTTCCCAGGCCCCCAACACCGAGCCCAGCGCCCGGCACACACAGCAAAACACA